GCATATGGGGTGGGGGAGGCACCATAATCTTTTCAGTGCTTAGGGCCTCTAAAGATCTTAATCTGGCCCTGTTTGGAGAGATCACTTCTAGGAGTGAAAGGGGACTGCAGTCTATCTGGCCTATACAATCTTTGTAAGGCTGGAAACAAGGGCCCAATAGGAGCCAAGTTTGGATGGTGGTTTCAGTGATGTGAACATTTTTCCACTGGGATCTGGACTGAGAAAATCCTGTTAGCAAAGGATCAGTGCAGCATTACCTCCTCCAGCTAAGAAGGGAGCTGCATGCTGCGGCGTCCTACACGCATTGCTTTTCCCTGGAACAAATTGTTTTTGTTCCAGCGAGCTGAATGGCAGCGGATACAATTGCTAATACCAGGAGCCATAACTCTGCAGCGCTGTAACCTGCATCTGCTGGCTTGTTTGTTCTTCCCAGGGAGAGAAGGGCTTGACACTATGAGGTAGACTGTGCCGTATTGTGTTACTCAATAAGAGCCCTTCTCTGTCTCTCAGTTTACAAACTGAAAAGAAAAGCACATGTGACACCATCACATGGCTTCCTTCCAAAACCTGTAGTTCCTTAAAATGTCAGCATGGGATAGCATGGCTTTAGAAACTGCCATAAGCATTTACTCTGCATGTTTCAAGGAACACTATTGTCCCTACATCAAAATGTGGTTTGGAGTGAATAGAGACCATAGAATTTCCTTTTATTTAGATTGCTCCCTCCTGCAGGAAAAAAACCTGCAGGAGTAGAAGACTGGTCTAGGACAGGGAGGATTATAGCTAAGATGGTCTTAAGCTTTTCTGTTCAAAGCTTGGTTCCAAGTGCTCTAAAACCAGTGTCCTTTGAAATGTTGTATGTTTGGGGGAAAGGGGTGCAGGGTTTTGTTAATTGTCCAGTTATGGAGCCATTTGACCCAGGGACTCCCAAGGTATAGCCTGTATTCCTCATTATCACGTATTCTCTTTTCAATTAGGACTTCTAATTGAGATGAACGCTCGACTTCTCGGCTCTCTGAGCATTAATTTTGCATTTCAGAAGTTTGAGTTGTGTTGAACGTTAGCATTCCTAAATACCCACCTGGAGAAGTGAAAAAACAGATTGACAGGGCCAAAAAAGTACCCAGACATGAACTACTTCAAGACAGACCCAAAAGAAAAAATAACAGAATTCCACTTGTCATTACCTACAGCCCACAACTCAAAACCCTCCAACGCATTATACACAATCTTGGAAAATGGTCCCTGACTCTCAGAGGCCTTGGGGGAAAAGCCTCTTCTCACTTACAGACAACCCCCAACTTGAAACAAATTCTTTCTGGTAACCATGCTACACAACCACATCATAAGCATCCAGGAACCCAGCCCTGCAATCAGCCATGGTGCCAGCTCTGCCCACACATCTATACAAGCGAATTCATCACTGGAGCCAACAACATACTCTATCAAATCAAAGACTCCTTTAATTGCACATCCAGTAATTTGATCTATGCCATCAAATGCCAGCAATGCCCCATTGCTATATATATTGGACAAATTGGACAGTCCCTACAGAAAAGAATCAATGGACACAAATCAGATATATGTAAGGGAACATACAGAAACCTATTGGAAAGCACTTCAATCTACCTAATCACTCTTTAAAAGATCTCCCAGTGGCTGCCTTGTCCAAACCAATTCTACAAGCCAAATACACAGAGAGGTGTTGGATTTACAATTCATCCACAAATTCAATTCTCACACTGATGGTCTCAATCGAGATAACGGATGGCTGGGACATTATCAACCTAACATTCAATGAAGGTGCCAACAGCTCTTTGTCTGTGTAGATTCTTGTGTTAGTACCCTTCCTATCTAATTGCTATTCTATGATCCTTATCTGCTTCTTTTAACTATCCAATCTTTAGGTGCTTATAGATTACCAGCTCTGCCTACTTGTTTTCCCCTTTGATATTTTCATACCCTCTGCTCCTTGTTTCCCAACCCCTTCTTCTTTTTCCTTTCCCCCTTTCCCTTCTCCCCTATTTATTTTGGGTCTGCGCATCCTAAACTCAAAACTCGGGTCATCTGAAGAAGTGGGCTGTGCCCATGAAAGATCATAACACCATCTACATGTTTTGTTAGTCTTTAAAGTGCTACCAGACCATTTGTTGTTTTTGAAGTTGAACTTGAATGTTCTGGAAGGGTGCAAACCAGCATATCTTACCCCTGGGTTAAGAGAGTTTTTTTCCCACTAATAGTCTTATAGGTGGGGCACTGGACTGTGATTCACAAAATGTGAGTGGAGCTTATTGGCATGAGATCATTGAGCTCAAAAGCTTGGCAAGATTCAAACACTGATTCACCAGTAATGTGGATATGAGGCCCACGGTTACATTGCATAGGGTATTAACCTTCATGGTTCAAGCCACAATCCAGCCATTAACTGCTTGAAGTTAAGAGGAAACTTCTCCCATCTCCTTTATTGTCCATTAATAGGTTTTTTTTTGTGAAGCTCTGAAGTAGGTGGTACTGGCCTCTGAGAGAGATTGAACATTGGACTAGAAGGGGGCAGAAGTCTGACCTGATTTGGCATTTTCTTTACACTATTTTGAGGATTGAAGTGGGGGCTGGTTTATCATGTCCACATCCTTTGCACAGGAGTGTGTCACCAGGGCCAACCTTATGCAGAATATGCAGCTGTGTAGGGCACCTGAAAATTTGGGGCACTGGGTCTTAATGTCCATCCACCCCCCTCTTTCTCTCCCTGTTCTGTGGCTTCACTTCCTCTAGAGAGGCTCTAGGTCACTTTAAAGTGAAAAAGCCTGCCAGAACTATTAGAACACTGAACCTGTGAAAGAGCTATTCACGGGGTAATGAAGCCATTTAACAGGCATTTGCAAACCCCAGGTCTATCTTCTGAGTTTCTGAATTTATTGTGTTAGTCGACAGGACCTTAGTTTACAATTTGCTTTACAAATGCTTCATTAGTGCGTTGCTGAAGATTATAAAATCACCTCTTTAAAAATATCATCCCAACACCAGTTTAATAGTACTGTGTAGCACCCCATCAATCCTAAGGAAGTCCCTGTGTGTCACACAGGATGAGGAGACACCAGAAGGGACTAATGTGCCTGAAAGAAGGAGTGGTGGCACAGGATAACTACAGTGACCATGGAGTTCTGTGACACCTTATAGACTAACTAAAGTGTTGGAGCATAAGCTTTCGTGGGCAAAGCATGCATGCATTTGACGAAGTGGGTCTTTGCCCATGAAAGCTTATGCTCCAACACTTCAGTTAGTCTATAAGGTGCCACAGGACTCCTCACCGCTTTTGCAGATTCAGACTAACATGGCTACTCCTCTGATACAGTGAACATGTAATTGGTGTACATAGGTTGTGTGCTTGTCACTGGTTTTCTTGTCATACCCAGTGGCGGACCGTCAATACAGGTGACCTAGGCGGTTATCTAGGGCACCGAGATAACCGGCTGTTGAGGGCTTTGGAGGCGGAGGCGCCGATCGCGCATTTCACCTAGGGTGCCAATTACTGGCAGCTCATCCAGGGCCACTCCTAGTGATACCTACAGAGTGTTGCATTGCAGATATTAAAGGGACTGGCATTTATTTCCACCCAGTGCCTACATGGGTCACTGCAGGCTTTAGTGGCTTACTCCTCTTCCATTCTAGCTCACTTACCAGGCATGTTTTTCTGCTCTCTTCCAGCCTGCTCCCCTACTCAGGTTTATCTCTCTCTCTCCCTCTCTGGCCACAGCTGTACCATTATCTGATTGGCAAAGGGCCAGCGTTGTACCTCTTGACAGTTACAAAGGGCGTATTAGCAGTGAAACAATATTATTTTCAACAGAAAAAGCCCTTTAATCCTCAGCTAGGTCTGATGTGAATGATTATTAAATAATATGCAGATGGGGTAGATGCATGGTTACAAAGTACTTCATACTAATGGAGAGGTAGGTACAAGCCTAAGGGTGGGATCTTAACTTCCACTGGGACTTTTGTTCCTAAATCCCTTAGCACTTTGGTAAACCCTGCACTATGTTTCCTTGTGGACCCGATTCTCAGTTACTCTGGCATCATGGGAGAGGTTTTAAAGTGGGCAGAACCAGGCTGTGGAGATGCTCACCCATAAGGAGGGCCTCCCCAGCCTTTGCATAGAGCTGGTGTAAAGGCTTCATGTTATCCCTGCTCCTCATCCTTGGCATGATGGGTGCAAGACTAGACTGCTTTGTACTGCCTCTATTTTCTTCTTCTCATTTGGGCCTTAAGGAAGCAGAACATAAATTAGAGCAGTGCTGAGATTGGTGTTGCTTACAGCAGCGCCTGGAAATACAGAATGGGAAAAATGCAAAGGTGGCTTAATGGTGTGTATGCACAACACGCACACACACTCACTTTCTCTCTCTCTCTCTTCAGATGCAGGAATAGAATAATGAAGAATTGTTCCTTTGTAATTTGAAATGAATGTCTGTGGGGAGAAAGCAGAAATGACTGGAAAGGGGTCACTTCTTTGGCCCCAGACATGCCCCTCTCATATTATTATTGTGTTTATATGCTGGCTATCTTGCTTCAGATTTGTTACCCTGCATCTGCACCAAGCGAGAAAAACAAAGCAAAATAGTGAAAATGGCAAAGTGACCTGGGAGTTTTTGCTTCTAGGACCAGTTATAAGGGTTGGTGGACTTGAACCCAAAACTGCAGGGCTAGTAAACAACCACAGCTCTCCCTCCTCCATTCTCTAGTTACTTCCTGTGACCCCACAATCCACTCTGGGAAGATCCACTCTGAGTAATCTGACCATCATTTTAACTATCCCTCCTTGAGCCTATATAGGGTGTAGCGGGAAAGATCCAGAAACAGTGTGATTTTGTAGATAGTATCGGTGATTGCCTTGCTTCTGAATTTCTGGGACTGGCCTTCACTCTGACTTAGGTTCTGACTCCTAATCAACCCCTGTAATTCCACCACTGACCCTGATTATTTGGCCTGATTCCTGACTCTAGTCTTGTCTACACTTACTGCGAGATCGACACTGTGGAGATCCGCCAAATTGACTGAAGCCCATGCTCCAAGCAGCTCTGATACTCCACTGGGTCGCGAGGAGTAAGGGGAATCAATAGGAGAGTTTCTCCCATCAATCACCCTGCAATGGGGATGTCACGGTAAGTCGAACTAAGGTACGTCAACTCCAGCTACACTCTTCACGTAACTGGAGTTTCCGCTTTCCTCCCTAGTGGAAAACTTGCCTCTCTCCCTGTCTTTGACCGTTAGTTTGACTCCTGACTCTGGCTTGCCCATCAGCTTGACCCTGATACTGGCTCTCACCCCAGTCTTCAGTTCCTGGCTACTAACTACTGGTTTTCAGCACTTTTCCTGCTGCTGTTGCTGCCCCATGGGTAGAGGCTATTATGATTTGTAATGTGAATTGCTATAAACAAGAAGGACTAGATTATAAGACCCCCTCCAATGGGAATTTTCCACTTGGCTTGACAGGTTCATTCTAAGCCCAGTAAGGTACTTGCATTATTCAATGTTGCCAGCCACAAACATTCACAAATAATGCATCTGAAATCACAAGATCTTTTACAGTTTGGGGTGCTTGTAATTTGCTTTCAGGTTTTGACCCTTTAGTATATGCTCACTTCACATTTTCAGGCTTTTCTCTGCAACCGTAACAGCTAGAAATGTTCTTTTTAAAAAAATGGTTGAGAATCTCGCCTGTCATCTGAGTCCAGGCACTGGGGCTTTCAGAAATACGACAGATTCCACAAGTTTCATAATAAAATCACAATGGTTGGCTACCCTGAATTTGCTGGGTTTTCACACAATTTGGTTATGCTGGAGGGTAGGAATGATTCCAAAGGGTTTGACTCAGGTGGGAATCAGGCACCTTGATGCCAAAGGTGTGTGGTGTTCAGGGGTGAATTTCACATGGAGAGAAAAATGTCCAACCTTTGTCACTGAGAGCCTGGAATTGTGATATCCCCCAAAGCTGTGCCATTTTTACCTGCTTTGCTCCTTGAGGAGGTGTTTTGGTCATGGAATATTTAACTGTTTTGTGTTTTTACTGAGGGATAAGGAATTGTTACCCGAGGCAGTGGAGGATGTTGCAATGTACAAGCTGAGTTATTCACAAGCTTTTGGGCACTGTGAGGTCAGAAAATATTTCAAACATAAGTCCACAGTAAGTCATGATAGACTGTTTCATTAGGCCATTTATGCCTGAAGTGCACTGCGAGGTTAGACCCAGTTCAGCCAGTCAGGAATATGTCACTGCCTCATAAAACATGCCCTGTCTTGCCTTACAGGCATTTTAATACTGCTAATCTTCTAGCCTGATGAATGCCATGGCTGAAATGGGGCAGGGGCAAGCAGAAAGCACTCGGAGTAGGCTTCAGATAAGTTTCTGTCTTTGGGGTATGCATGCCCACTTGCCATATCCAGTAGCACTTTAGTCAGAAGCATAACATTGGTCCTTGAAAGTAGCCAGGATTAACTATGAAAAGCCTTGGAGAGGCTCAGGAAGGGAGGCAGGTACAAATCTGTCTTGACAGAAACAGTATGTTGGCACCACTGCGTCACCATGATCCTAACCTCTATGCACAACCTCCTGTCTACCATACGTAGTTTCTACTTGTTAAAGAATTTCACTATTTCCCATGCCTGTATTCAGCTATCACATTTAATTACTATTAACGCCCAGAATCCTTTGCAATGATACATGCAGTGGTTTAGAGGAAGCATTGCAGTGGTTTATTGAAGCCTAATTAAACAGCACTGGGATTGTTCAGCTCCTAGTCACTCCCTTAGGCTTTTTAAAAAAGCTTAGCCTGAAAGCACAAAATTGGGCCGAAGAGTCAAATCCCATCAGCAGGTGGGCAGTGACTAGAATTTAGGACTTTTGGGCTTGTTTTTGTCAACCTCATTTCATATTTTTATTTCCAGTGAGTTTCTTCACAGAATTTATTGTGTTTTCATGGATGCTCTATAAATTTAAAAACTAGTGGAGTTTTGTAAAAACAAAGAAAATCCTCAAGAACTTTGCAACAAATCTTTTTTCCAAAGCCAGAATATTCACCACCATTACCAATGTTCCCCCGTACCCAAACAAACATACAAACATACACCTAATCAGAGCAGAGCTTGCTACCACCAGAGAAGAGAGACAAACATATAATTCCAAGAAGTCCAACAGGAATCTCGCTACACCAGTCCAATCAATCTGCAAGATTCTTAGATGCTGTCATTTTGGGAGTGGTAGTAAAACATTAAACTAGATTAATGTTTTGTGAACGGTAATGCCGAGTATTGGCATTACCACTGATATAACGTACTGGACACTACACACAGCATAAAAGGGAATAGCAACTGCAGATATTTGGGAGTATTCAACAGATGGCGCTCTCTAGCTTCTTTTCCGCCTGCCATTGGCAGGAAGAAGACAGAAGGCCATCTCTTCGGGTGCTATCCCTTGCTGGTTTTTGTACACTTTCGTACTTTTCTGAACTATTCTTATCTACATTCGCTTTAACAGGTAGGATCATCCTAAATGGTCAAGACACAGTCATTTGTAATCATTACAGGTGGTAGAGTACAAAGTATGCATCCAATGGCCAAGAATTAAAGATAATTAGAGATACTGTTGAATCTGCTAGTTGGATTATACAATGGAAATCAAATACACACCGATAAAGAGGCTTTGCTTAATTAAACTTGTATGATAGCGTAGACTATATGTAGTTATACTCGTTGTCTGACTGCAGTCCGGACAACAACATCCAGCAAAGCACTTAAGCATGTGCTTACCTTCTTGCATATAGGTAAAATCCCACTGACATCACTAAGATTATTTACATGCTTAAAATTAAGCATGTTTTTAAGTGCTGTATTGGATTAACATTTATCTCCTTTTTGGAATGACCCCTTTTCTAGAGGCTGGGTGGATTTTTTTTTTCAATGACAATTCTTTCAGTGAAAAATGCAAATTCTGTGACATCAAAACGTTTTGTGGATTTGTCAATTTTGCTATATTGTTTTGGTTGGGGAAAAACACTATAAAATTCCAAATACTCAAAATGCTTTGTTTTTGCCTTTTTTGAAATGAAACATTTTGACTTTTTACTTGAAATGACTTTTCATTTAGAAAATTCCTTTAATCTTGCCTTTAAAAATGAAACAAAAATGCTTGAAACTAAAGCTGTTTCATATCAAACAGCACGGCCTTCAGTATTGCTTAATATTACAGCTATTTGAAAAATGTTAAGTGGAACGGGTGGGTTTTTTCCATCTAAATCTAAACACCTTACAGAAATGAGTCTATTTTGTTAAAGTTTTCAATGGGAAATTGTCAGTGTTTCATATCAATAAGGTGGAAACATTTCAACTGTATTTTATTCATTACTTTATGACTTCTGGATCATTGTATAGAATCTTTATTCAAAATGATAGTCATCACTGATAAGCAGGAAAAAATTCTGGCACTGCTGCAGTCCAAAAATAGCAGGTTTCTTTCCTGTTTCTGATACGTGGGTTCTCACTTGTGTGCACATCTATACATTTAGTTCTTACAGACTATCTTTCTGTGGGGTAATGCATTATTTCTCCCTGCTGTATTACCCATTTTGAGAGGTCCTTTGTTTCTAGACTTTTCCTCTGCTCCATGTAAAACTTTTTGTGCATGCTACAGATGGGCTAATACTTTGGATCTGGATCGGATGTTTTTCATTGTTCAGGAATGATGCAGACTATTTAGGATCATAAGTAAATTTGGCCTGAGCCATGCTGTTCAGCTCTAAATCCAAATGATTCTAGACTTTGTATAGTTCAGATGTAAGGTTCCAGACTGGCCCTATCTCTAGGACTTACCTCTGGTAATGTGGTCCCATTTTTATGTTTCTCTCTGTCCCTGTAACTGAATGGGGTGAAAGGAGAAACCTGTGTCATGAATGAAAACACGAACAAGAGCATGTGTCCTCTGTTATGCAGGCTTAGTCTGAATATCAACCCTTTTCTGCAGACAGCGGGGACTCTTCGCCATACTGTAAAATATTAAACGGAGCCATGAAAGTCTGGTAAAGGCCGGTTTTGTTTCATTTGTGTTCCTCAGCTCATATCAAGTATAAAAGCATTGAGGAATATGCCAGAAGATGATGGGAATCTGAGATAAACGATATGTTAATTATGATATTACGTGTGGTGCCATGGTATAATCTTGAGGAACCGGAGCATGATATAAGATCAAAAATCTGTGCTGGTTTAAATGGGCAGAGCTCCATCAATCTCAGGGTCGTTGTTTTTTTTTTTCCTCTCTCTGTTTCTACCAGCACAGAATTGTGCCGATGGTGTACGTGCAAAATCTAGCACTGGGCTCAGAATTCCAGAGAACCTTTTGGCATGCAATGTTGGTGTGTTTGGTGTTGCAACAGGGGCACTCACTGTTAAGGAGGATGCCAGCCTTCAGTCTCTGTGCTGAGAACCAGGTTTAGCAAGAAGAAAACAAGTACAGGAAACATGTGTTCTATCAAATGTATGCTTTCCAAAGCTTTCTCTTTAGCTTCGGTGCTGTGATATACAGATGAACATATTAGGTTATTTGTCGAGCCATGTGTGAATTTGTTATTTTTCAATTTCTGTGCTATGCACTTGAACACTAAGAAAACGTAGGCTCTGAACCCTCATCCCCTGCAATTGGTAAAACATAAATGATTATGCCATTGTTTAATGTGTAATCCAAACTGTGCTGGGCACTATGCAATATGGAAATCCTGCCCTTCTGTAAACATAAGTGCAACTTCAAATTCTTTCTTTGGAAATCACCTGGCTTGGTCTAATCTTAGAAAACACAATGGACGCTTTAATATTCAGTTTTCGATCTTTCAAATAATTATTATTTCAGTTAGAGACAAAGGCTAATGCAAAGGTGGAGAACACACACCAGTTCTGCGATATGACTCAAAGGGGAATTAATGAGACAGAAACTGTGTGCCAACCGAGACCTTGGTGTTGTGGTGAGAAGGAAACTTTACCCTGGCCTACATTGGTGAATTTTCATGAAAAATACCTGTTTATTGTCCAATGCCGGAAAAGCAAAACCAACAACACTATGTGGTGACACAGCAATTCCATGGGGAGGTGGCGGGGGCTGGAGGAAGTGAAAGTACTT